TTTTTGATTATTATTTTACTTTTGTTAATTTTATATTTTCTGTATATATGGTATGAATTTGTTCATATGTCTCTATAATTATTGTTCACGTCACAGATTGTTATATTTAAAAAAGAAAAAAAAATCAGCAGACAATTTAAATATAGTGACATCTGAAAAAAAGATAAAAATTTATATATTTTCACACAATATTATGATCCGTCGCTTCTCCGTTTCGACCATAACATTAATTTACTTACATTTAGTAGTTTTCTTACGTTCTTTTACGTAATAGTTTTTTTTTTTTTAATTCTTACTAATTTCTTACCGATCATATTTACTTTTTGTTACCTTTGGATTAATCAAGAAAGCTAACGCTTCATCGCTCGACTAGAACGTTTCCGTAAGTTCATCTTTCGTTGGTCATGCGCATGTTGTGTTAATAGTTTGTTCATACGATCAGTTATATGCATACCGCCGGAAATTTATAAATATAATTTTAATGCATTAGATTAATCAGAACTTAAAAAGAAAGTTTGTTTTTGTAGGAATTTGCGTCCCGATTTTGGTTAAATTTAGTACATATGTTAACGAAGGAAAATGAATTTTAAATTATCACCGCTAAAAATTTATGCTGTCTGCCTCAAGAAACTGTCGAAATTTAGGTTCCCGATAGGTACTTTTCAACTAAACGATTGTATTCCTAGAACATATTCTTCACTAATTAAACAGATAAAAGAATTAAAATTTTATTACAACATCATGGAATGAAATTTAATACTAGAAATTGTCTCATCTAAGATTTGCTATGGATTAATTTAAAGAATTACACAAGGTGTATATACATATATACACATGTATCGTAAGTATTGAATATGTGAAGTCTACGTGGACTAGGGTTACTTTGCTAAACTTTCCAAATAATTTCACTCGGACTTTCACGTCAGTCATTTTTTGTATAGATCAATCGTTCACGGGGTACGTCATGACTGATCCGTAACTTCAGAGAAAATATATTTATTTTAATACATACTTTTACTATTTTATTTATTTAAAAAAAAATATTTTGTTAATTTTAAAATTATAACAACCTAAAAAACTAGACAAGGGGACGAAATATCCGTTTAGTTTACATTAACTTTTAGTATTATTGTTTTTTCTGTATTATTTGTTTTTATTTATTGTTGATAGAGCGTATAGGTGCTCTCTGAACACTATTATAAATTACAATATTTGTGAAAGATTGTAATATCTCTCAATGAACATGTTTAAAAAAAAAATTCAAATTATATCCATATAAATATTGAACAACATATAGAAACTTATTCTAGTGGAGTAATATTTAAAGTTTTTTTTTTCTTCAAATTTGGAAATAAATAAATCATGAAACGGATGACCAGGCAATGAAATCCAAACGTCAACCGTCATATATCTCTCCCGAGATTAAAAGATCTAACCGTCTCTATATATTCAATATTCAAAAATCTTTTCTATATTTTGTTATGAAAGTCATACATATATATTTATCACGGCCTGATTTATAGAATATATTTTTTTTTGTTTTTTTTATTAGTTGAAAATTAATACATTCTACCACATTGAAGGGAGTTAATATTTGGACAACATTAAACATTCACACAATGTATGCATACAAATAATAACTAAAATTGAGATAAAAGAAAAAAAAGCATTCAAAGAATATCACAATTCAAGATTTATGAAGTGGGAAATTGTTCTTGGCAAAACTAATTAATAAATTCTTTGTTTTTGGCAATAATGACTTCCAATTAAACAACAATTGATTTATATATTGTATTTCCAAATTACATGTTTACATGTTAACGTTTCAGGATATTTACTCCCATCTTCAAAACTAAAATCCGAATGTGTTTATGTTGATAGACTTAATAAACAAGAAAAATGTAATTTATAAATTAAATTCTCAAAACTTCCCCAAAATCTACATTGGACAGAAACTTCGAAACTCTTAGGGACCAGAATTTCACAATACATTTCACAACAGCTTTAGCACATCTCAGCATAAAGTTACAGCTAAAAACTTCAATAAACCACAGATATTAGGCACAGAACCAAAAAACAACAATAGAAAATTACTTGAAGCCATACACATCACAAAAAAACAATAGAACAACGGTAAATTATAATACAGACACCAAACATTTAGTAATACATTATGCTGACATATTAAACTAAATTAAAATTATATTTATAGAATAAAAATGAAATTTCAGCTATATAAAAGATAAACATTTAACAACAATAGTAAAAAAATAAACATTCATATCCAAAGGTCAATTTTATTCACCATAATTGGTCTAAAAGCATGATGATGCTCTGGATATTATATACTTTAATTTATTATAACATGAATTTAGAACCGGAAAATGGAGCATGTTAGATTTAAAGTAATTACAAAATTTAACGTAACAATCCAATTCTGACATGTATTGTAACATGCATTATATTTTGACTTAATTTTTAGCCATGAATCAACATAAAAACATTGGAATTGTAGTTCTGAAGATGGGAGCAAATACCCAGAAACGTTAACTTGTAAACATGTAATTTGGAAATAAAACTTATATATCAATTGTTGTTTAATTGGAAATCACTATTGCCAAAAACAAAGAATAACATACAACTTTCTAGAAAAAATAAAATAAACTTAACAATAATTTAGTTCGATTATTTATAATACTAGTATGTGCCTGTGAGATCTCTCTCTCTCTCTAAAGTACTCGACATACAAAGTACTCTCATTCCTAACCTAGCTTCTTCTTCGATCCTTAACCATCCGAAACGTCTGAAAAGAAAAGGCCCCATGATCTAATGTAAATATATTATTAGAGTTCTACCAATGGGTATTTTTCTACATTTTCATGTCATAATATTCATTTAGTCATAATATTCATTTACTAAAAAAAATTTCCAACGATGTTGTAACAAAATATTATTTTGTGTCGACAACGTATGTATTCACTTCTACCATCTTCATAGCTATACTGGAAGTAGTTTGCTTTCAACTTTAGTTTTTTTTCTAAATAATATATATCAGTTTTCGTTCCTAATCTCTGACCGTTTCGCGGCTTACGTAAACACTCTTCCTCTTTCGATTTTTATCCAGTTATCGGAATTGATAATTCTTCGGCCAAGGGTCACCCGTGACGGCCATATTAGCTACAATATCCACCGCTATCATAATCTCTTTCCAACATTGAGCCCTCCATATTACAATATAAATAAATTAATATATATCTTTAAAACTGTATTTAGATGATGCAAATGGATGTTTAAAATAACCATAATCCATGATTACTAACAGTCAACACCCTATCCTATATCGCTGAAAAAACATTAAATAATTTGTTTATATTATTTTTGTACTCGAAATGAAAAATATCCACTCTTGTTTGAGACACTAAGGATATGGTTTCTGTATTTCTGTTTGAATTCAAATCCATTTTACTAAACGAAATTTTCAGATATTATGTGATATAGTACTTAGATGGTTCCTTAACAGTTTCATTTAATTCCATATCCTACTTTCGCTTATGTTCGCGTAAATGTGGAGACTCTCTCCCCTATATTATGAAAATGGGGCTTACTCGCGTTAGAGAAAAGTTGGGAATTGGAGACAAATTATTCATTTATCAACTTTATAGAATTATGGCCTCTTCTTACATTTGCGCAATACTTTCCATGTTATGTCTCTGTTATAAAAACCGTTTTTTCGATTTGATCAAAAGTCAGAGGAAATAATGTAAAAATCGTTTAGTAACAATTTAAAAAAAAATCCATTTAACAATTGAAGTTAGCATACCAAATTGATAAGAACATATATTTTCAAATCAAGCTTCCCAAATATACGAATTATTAAATATTCTAAATTAAATAAAAATTAAAAGAAAATTTGAAGATTTCGAAAAGCGTTGAAAAAACATTTGGATAGCTAAACATTACAGAGTGCAAAAGATGTAAAAGACGAAAAAAAAAAAAGAAACCAAATATAATAAATAAATAAAATATAATATTCAATATTAAATTAAATATACTTGAATTAAAATCTTTTATCCTGAGCATTTTTCCCTTTCTGAATTTTTTTTGTCAACCCTTCACGATTAAACAAAAATAAATAAAATGTGATTTATTATCAAAATAATTAGGAAACTAATTAAAATTTTAATTTTAATTTTTAAAAACCATACACCACTTAAAATATAAACAGATAGGTACCTATTGTAAAAAAACTAGTACAATAAAACAGGAATAAAACTTAAATGATGCAATAAAATTCAATCAGATTCTTTTAGGGTAACGTAACAATATATATATATATATATATATATATATATATATATATATATATATATATATATATATATTTATTTATTTATTTATTTTTTTTGTATAGAAACATTGTGTATGAGAACAAATATTTTTTTTAATATCTTAATTTTTTTTTTGGACATCATGAAGAGCAATAAGAGTATTTTAGGCCAAAAAATGTTTTCACAGAAATAATTCATAACTATGAAAAATAAACTCTTACAAGCTTCCTTACCATTTTTATTGGTTGCAAAATTTTCTAAATTTCAAAGTCTATGATTTTATTGACGTGAGAAGGTTATATATAGATATAAAGATTTTTCAAGAAAATATGAATGATTATTAGATAATATCAACCCTCACATTCCCTGAAAATTTCATAAAATTTACTAAATTAGATTCTATGCCCATCCCATCCCATGGATACGACAAAAAATACATACAGTTTAAAAACATATATAACATCCCTTTTTATATGTTCATTGTCTACCACATTTCGCAACCTTTATATTATTTATACAATTAAGTATATCAATATAAATTTTTAAATGGAATTTGTCGACATTGTTACTAGATTTTCGTACGATATTCTCAGAATCAGAATTTTCTCTAGTTTTGGAGCGAATCGAACAATGAATCCTCTTATTTATACCTACTACATATTAAGTTTATAAATATTATTTAAAAAGGTTCAGAAAGCTCCATTATCCTTGAGCTGCGGACACAATGCGATGCCTTCCATTGACCAAGCCAACAGCCAATGAGAATCCAGATTGAACTTTGACCTCTCTACGATCAGCCAATGAGAGAGAAGACAAACAAAGACGGGGATGTGTGTGTGTGTTGGTTGAGACTAACAGATTGTGAACGGGAAGATTACAGCCTTTATCCCTAAATGTCTCCGTGACGCGGATTGAAGGCCATGTCCAATCCATGGCCTTGTCTAGATACCTCCTTTTTTGTTATTTTATTTTTAGGTTTTTTTGTAACGGAAAACTCGACGTCAACACTCTGGAAAACGCCTAAAGACCGAGAGATCGAACTGGACAATATAGCCGCCCGTCTGGCCTTCCGATTGGTCGGAGCGGCCGATGACCATCGCGGGGAAGGGTTCTCATTGGTCCGCAAGGTGAAGCTGGATGGTTCGTTGGATTGGATATATAGCAATAATAATATTTGAATTTTTAAAACCTTACGATTTATTTCGAAAATAGGGTAGATTTTTTGGCTTTGATATACAAGACTCTTACCTAGTGATGATGACTAGAGGTACCCATCCCACCCAAGATCGATGACGCATAAATCTCTCCCCTCTTTTTTCCACCAAATTTTATTGCAAGTGAAAAAATTATCAGAAATAAATGTAGATCATATACAATTACACTTGCTGTGTTCTCGTCCATGTTTTTCCCCTGTCTCCTCGTTACATTTTAGTGGCGCAACTTGCGTCATGAAACCTCCTTCTTGGCACCCCTGTTGATGACCATACCGATATCTTTAAAACACAATTTATCTACAATTTTCCAATGTAGTGAAATTTTATGTTTTGAAATTGTAATTCGTCATTTGAATCCAAAATATAAACAAATCTAATAATAATTAAGATTAGTTTTATTATTCTCTTTAGACCAGACGAGCATCATAATCCCGTCCACGTTTCTACCCAATCCTCCATATCAGGAATTACCTAGCCTTTGGCCTGTGAGCCATATAATCAAAAAATAGTTTGGAAAATCCATGCTCGTGATCTTTCACCCGTTGGTTCGCTGTTGGTGGTTGGTAACACCGTTAAACAACTTGAACAAATTTCAACTCCTAAATTATTTCGATGTTTTTTTTCATTCATCCAAACGTTTCAGGCAATTTATTTTTAATTTATTCGACAAACGTAATCTGCAGTTCTCCTTTTCCAAAATATGCCTTGTATGGAATCTGTAAAGAACTGAAGGAAGGACAATAATAGCCTTGTAAATTCTTGCCTTCACGTTTTTACAAAGCTTAGGAACTAATTTATGTTTTCAAAAAAAATACAAGTATTTTTCGTTTTTAATTGTTTTATCCTCTTGATTTCATAATAGCCTGTATACCGAAAATTTTTAATATTCAATTTCTTTTTTTACGGAAATCACCTAAAACGCTCCGGTTTTGCTTCACTTTATTTTTTTTATAAATTTGTATAAAACAGTTGCGTAATATTTGTAATTGGTGCCCCGAGATACTCCCATGTCTCTCACCACTACACTGAGTTAAAGTGGCTCTTTCCCTCCATTCGAAGACAATATTTCTTAGGTACGTTCCTCTATCAAATCGTCAACAATCATCGTTCTTCTTATGCCTACAACCTTCTCCAATTCAAGTCCTCAGCCCAATCCCTTTCCACTAGATCTTGATCATCCGGCCTTTACATCCCTTCTCACAGATCTGCCTCGTTCCAAAATTCCTTTAATGCTCGCTCTGTTAATTTCTGGAATTCCCTTCCTATCAAAATTCGGCGTTCTCCCTCCCTATCTACATTGAAAACCTTCCTAATCCAATTCCTGTCCCAAAAACATTTTATGTAAAATTACATATTATACATAATGATGTATTTACATATAACTCATCACTTAAATTCTTACTATCAGATTCGACTTTCTTTTTTATGTTTTTCATATAGAAACACAGAGTTTATTGCTAAGAATAATGTAATGTATTTTTTCTAAAAGTGTATAATTATGTATTACTACTGTACATAGTTCTAAGTTTTAAGTGCATGGTTTCAAGTGTTTTGTATATAGATTTATTTAAATTTTGTATATAGTATGTTTAATTAATATTTTCTTTGCTTATTTCTTTTTATTTTGTTTTTATTTAGGCCAGATATATTATTTTAATTTTGTACTTTTTTTGTTATTCTAAAGGGACTTTGTCCCAGAATAAAATTATTTTCGATTAGTTTGTTATCATAATATATACATTTATACATATTAGGAATTAAACAGAAAAAAAAAAGAAACCTCTCACATTTTTTTATAAAAGTGAATTGTTTTAGATAAAATATTTCACCTGAAATTTATTTTAACCTTGAATTCACTTCCTCTTGAACCTGATATCTTCATAGATATTTTAAGACCCAGATATATTCAAGTGTATTACGTGTACCACAGAATTGTTTGATTTTATTTTTTTGTTATTTTTTTAAAAATTGTATTTAATGAATTTTGATTCCTTCTCTCAACAATAATAAATGTAAGTGTTAGAAACTTTTATGGTACTTCTTTAAAAAACAGTTTCAAAGGAACTCTTATAAATAAAAAAAATTGGATAACCGTTGTTAATATGTTACATAAATATTATAAGTGCTGGGTTTATTACAACAGTTTAATTTTTCTTTATTTAAATTCTTAAAAAAAGTTTTATTCAAACAAAAAAAATTATATTTATTTTTTCACCATTAAATTGGTAAATAATTTTTATTACATAAGTATATGTAATATATATTATGTAACAAGTTAGGATATAATAATAATAATTTATCATTAGTTAATTAATAGCAATTAATGACATCTTTTAGAACCCATTAATAGCCAAATAACCATATCATATTAAAAATTTTTATTTGGTCACATCAATATATTTATTTCGCAACGTTTCGGTATTTTTATCTCGATCTTGTCTAGATGATATCAAGAAATAAAAATAATTTTTACAGGTGATTTTGGACAGGTGGTATAAAATAAGTGAAACAGAAATGTTCAAAAATGTCCAAAAACGCCGAAAATTTTTATTTTATGCCATGCTAAGTATTAGTACAGTACTGGTATTTTGCCGCCCATTTTCGGTAAAATTATATTAACAGCGTGTTTCGGTAATAAATTAAATAAAATTAAGAAAATTGCTCTATTAAATTTGTATATCTATATTTTAAATTTGAATCATATCAGCTAATAATAATAATATCGTATAATTAAAATAATTAATAAATATAATATTTTTAGGAACACCTTGTTGAGAAACGTTGAATAAGTACTCAAAATGATTCATAAATGTTAACCAGTACACATGGTGTACATTAACATAACTGCTATGTAAGTTTTAAATAGGGAAACACAAATAAAAAGTCAATTATGTTGATAAGGTAGGATCGTTTATAAGTGAAAACTATTTGTCAAATGTAATTGGGCTTACTTCGCTGATAAATTAAAGTCAGATCCGGATCTTGTGAAAGCGAGCCAATAAATTCTCTTGAAAATAAATAAAATGTACAGTAAATAAACAAATAATTTAAAATTGCCGATTTGCAAATTTTGATTAATGAGACGAGTTCGTTAGGGAGTAACATTTTATTTTTAAGGAGTTGGTACAGAAGCTTACGTGGTTACCGGATACTTCATACCTAATTATACAATTTGTAAGAATTTAAAATAAATTGGCAATATAATTTGATTACATCAATGGTACTTGTATAGTAGGAAGTTTTTTTATAATGATTTTTATCTTTTGTCTTTGTCTGATTAGTCGTTTCTTTAAAAATAAATTTATTTTTCCCATATACAGTGTACTTTCGTTATAACCATTTTTATAATTACAACTTAAGTTAAATAAACCGTATAGTAAAATGAGTTGAAATTTGGAATATATGTTTTTCTTTCACGTAAAATAATACCAGAGAAGTGTGGTATATATTTTTTTTAATTTATACAAATCCAAATATTTTTTATCACGGTTACTGAAGTTTTTTGCACTTTTACAAATTACTCTTATGTTTCACTCTACAGCCCCTAAAAATGGACTTGGAGTATTGCTAAATTCTTATGTAAATTTATTTCGTGTTAGGAAAGTGCCTTTTACGGATCTCATTTTCCGCCATTTCGATAAATTAAATTTAGAAACAAAAAATAAAGCATGAGAAATAAGTAGTTAAATCGGTTTGAAAATACTACTCAATTTACTCAGTTAAGTATAAATAAAATAATTTTTATCTGTTTTTCAAACAAAAATGAAAGAACCATACGATCTTTGTAAGTGATCTCTGCTACATACATTTTTTTTCTTTCATACTAAACGTCTATTTACTGTAAATATATGTAAATGCTAGTTTTGTTATTTAATGTTTTGCAATCAATCGCATCCTGGATTCTTCAATCACACATGACGAATCTTGAAGAATGATGTCAAAACTGGATAATTAAAATAAAACCCATCAGATTACCTTTACCCTTCGTCGTAAACCACTTCCTTTCTGTCCTACAGTATTCTTTAACTATACTTCACTTATCCCTGTTGAACAAATCTGTAACCTAGGACTACACCTGGACAAACGTCTCACTTGCAATCCTCATACCAGACTTCAACACTTACTAGACAAACTCTCTAACCTTCCAATTAATTACAAAAGAACCATATACATGACTATAATAATGCCTATTTGGACTTACGGAGTTGAGCTATGGGACTCCACCAAACCATCCAATTCCTCTCCTATCCAATCCTTACAATCCAAAAATCTTCGTAAAATCCTCAATGCACCTTATGTTTATTATGTTTCAGATTTGGCCCAATCCAGATACCTTTCCTTGCATAATAAACTTCAAAACCAACCCAACCCTCTCCTTTCTAACCTTGCTTCCTCTTCAATTCCTGATAACCCTCCGAATTGCCCCGTGATATCCTAATATAGATTAGAATTCTGCCAGTGGGTATTTTCTCAACAAGTGTTTCATTATATCTATTGTACAAATTTACTAGATGTATTTTTTTATACAGTTGTAAATATCATGATAAATAATAATAATAAAAAAAAAATGTTTTGGATTGACGAACAAATTCTAATTATGTTAACACAAACAATTATTGATGTTTTTTTTTCTTGAATAAAATCATTGAATAATTTTATTATATGTATACAATAATATATATATATATATATATATATATATATATATATATATATATATATATATATTTATATATATATATATAATGAGTGTCCGTGGTGGATACATTCTCCAGACCTAATCCTCATACAACCGAAGTCATTTCATTGTTTAATCTTAGGCAATCAAAGATTATAATTGCATCAATTGAATATAAACACGACAATTATTGCTTTGGAATATTGTTAAGGTGCGTTGACATGGCCACATAGCGTTCATGTCCTAATTCCTACGATAAGAAAATCTTTACTTTAGAACATCCAAATAAATTATTACATCAAGTTTTTGTGTAT